TTATGTATTTTTAAGTTTATTTTAAACTCACCATACAGTATTTGATAAATTAAATCAACTGCATCATAGGTAAAACATCACCAAGCGCAAGAAGCCACCAGTATAAAAGGTCAAGCCAGGTCGGTCACCGGGAGAGGCTTTTATCTTGTGTGGTGAAAGATTGTTGGATTTTTAGCTGCCTCAATGCTGCTTCTCGTGCTGTGGCGTGTTGCATCTGTTGTACCAAGTGAATGGTGTATTGTCTTGTATACTGGTTGTGTTCGAAAGATATGTGCGTAATAAATGTATAATATGGACATTACCCCTGTAGTTGCATAACACGCTACCAAACTAACACTTCTGACTCTACGGAGTTTGATTATCCAATATATAACATATATTTTGGTGGCAATATATGGAGATTGACCCATATGGAGATTGAGTTGAATAACACGCTACAAAACTAACATCTCTGACTCCACGGAGTTTGATTATCCACTACAGTATGTACACCTAATACTGATCGGACCCGTCGGTCTCATCTCCAGGACACACACACACACATGTATGTGTGTGTGTGTGGATATACATATATATATAGATGGATAGATAGATAGATATGTATATATCCATACACATAAAGAGAAAAAAAAGACAGGAGGGAAGGAGAGGAGGACAAAAATTAACATAATTATAATTACACATACACATTTAAAGATACACGGCTAATTGGGTAATTATTTTTTGTGTCATTTACCTCACTTTTTTTCTTGATTCTCTCTCGCCCTGTCTCCCTCTCCCTTCCTCCCTCCATACCCTTCTCCCCCTCCCCCTCTCTCTCCCTGCCATTTAATCTTTACCAATTTTCCTTCCATTGTAACTATATCTGAATGTGTGTCCTCTCTCCCCTCTGTTCTTTCTCTCCATACTCATGCCGACGCCAGCTAGCCAATCAGAGTCGAGAAACCGACCTTTCTTTCTTTCGTTCCCACACATGACACCACTCGCCGTATGGCTATTACACTATTCCGTAACTCAGCCTTTGGTGTATATAAGATCGGCAGTCCCCTAGCATCGCCACCAGTATCGCCCACGGGTCTTTAGCAGCGAGGAATCCACCAAGGCGTTCCTCGGGCGAAAATCATGAGAGGCTTCACGCTGGTAGTGCTCGCGCTGGTGACCCTGGCTGCCGTCGCGCATGCGCAGAAGGTAGGGAGGGCCGAGAATGCCATAGTCTTTCTTGGACATTGGTATGTCATGTTCTTTGTGGTGGGATCGTTAGCATTTTGTTATCAATTTTACTGTTATGATGATTGTTACTATACACGCATACATATGAAACTATACATATGATATATATATATTTGTGTGTGTGTGCATGTATATATACATATGTCTGTCTATATATACATATATGTATGTATATATATGTATATGTATATATACATTACATACATATATATATTTACATATACATACACATATATCTATCTAAAAATATATATTTATATATAAATATCTATGCATACACACATATATGAATGTACATAGGAATATTTATGTATATATATGCATACTTATGTGTGGTCGCTTTTCTTTACAATTTAATGTGCATACATTTATCCTATTTGGAATGTGAACCGTGTATACAATGCAAATTGGATACGTGATAAACCTCAAAATGAGCTGCTTCCCTCCCTTTAACATAAAGCTTCCGACTTCGATGTTTCCAGGTTGAGAAGAGGTCACAGGCATGCGAGAAGGCAGGAGGAAGGTGCGTGAGCAAGTGTCAAAGGAAGTCTCTGGATGACATTTCCTGTGCGAAGGGACTGACCTGCTGCAAACTATGTGGGTCTCAATCAGTGAGCGTTTGTTTTACTTTCTGAAGGAAGGTCGAATCACACCAGCACGTATTATGGCTATCTGGTAAGTTCATACGGGCACTGTTAATGTCTCGGCCGAAATTGGGAACCTGTAGTACTACTGCATTTGAAACGGCTGATTACCTTCAAGCTACACAAATTTAACATTCCCAAACTAAGAGATCTTTTGATATCTAACAACTCAAGTCATATTAATTATATTATTCATCGTCTAGTAGGTCTTGTAACATAATCTGATGCAAGCTGTAGCAATTATCTTCGTGTTTACATATTGCACGTTTAGCTACTGTGTTTATGTACATGTTTACGTACTCATGTATATACAGACGTAAAAGCCCGTGATGTGAATCGGCCCTACAACTACATAACTTTTCCGCATACTAATAGTTTTATCTCTTACTTCAAAAAGCGAAAAGGCAACAGCGAAAGCAGATGAAGAAAAAAGAGCGAAAACTCAAGCAAAAGGAAAGAAAGGCTTCCAAGAGACAAAAGAAGAACAGTGAGCATTATCTCATTCGTATGCATATACAGACGTAATATATGTATATCTATATGTATGAATACGTATGTTTATAAATACATACATATACGAGTGTGCGTGTGTTTGTCTGTGTGTGCATATATATTGTGGACACTACATAAGGGCATGTACCACATATACATGAGTGTCCATTTATATATCTATATGCATTTACATACATATATGTATATATATACATATTTATGCTCATACATTCATTTATATTCATATATATGTACACATATATATATGATCCTATAAGTTTATAATGATTTCTATCCTAACCACAGATAAGGGGTTGAAAGCACAGAAAGAAAAGAGAGAGAAGAAAGTCAAAGGGAAAGGCAAAACATTTGCTAAAGGAGAAGGCAAAAGGAGAAAGAGTAAGTTTGAACCTTTTCACATTCAAACATTTGTTTGTAACTCATAAGGCTGCGTGCGTGTGTGTACAGTGTACTTATAAACATTATACATACCAGACATTTTCAACAGCTGGCCTGTGTACCATATGCATATTGGGTACAAAAACAGCCTACAGTGGCTTTGTCATTTTGACATAGAAATAGTACGGCACTGATAACAAACATTCATTGATAATTTGAGTGATGAAAATAGCATTTCAGTATTTAATTGGCGAACTAGTATGTCATGCAACCGGAAGCAGAAGACAATGGCGTTGCAATTGATGGGAGACGTTTGTTGAGCAGAAATTATAGAGGCCATCTGATATTTTCAATAAGATTAAGTCGGCACGGCCCTCGTATGGTATATATATAGATAAATATATGTATATATGCACACTGTGCGCGTGTATGTATATATGTATATATATATATGTATGTACATATATATCACTACATATATATGTATGTATATGTATGTTTTACTCTCTCCGTGGGCACTCGGTGGAAATTGATTAAATAATTCGAAACCGGATTCAGATGCACTGAGGTGTACATACGAAAGATGAAATAGAGCAATGCCGCACTGAGATAGATATATAACAACCCTCCCTGGCCTGGACTCGAACCCTTGCCACTCCAGGTAAGACCAGAGTGACCAGTACCAACCATACCAAACGACCCACTAAAAGGAGTGTGCAACTACGATCTTACTAGCTCCATACACATTGCCCATCTGATCATACGGCATTGCATAATTTCATGTCATATATACATACACACACACAAACATCTATATACATATATGTGTGTGTGTGTGCATACATATATACATATATGTATATATATGTGTATATATATATATTTATTTATTTATATATCTATATGTATATATGTATATTCGATGTATGAGTGTGTATATGTAAAAGTATATATATTATATTATATATTACAGTATCCAGAGTAAAACCGTATTTAAGCACATTATTCTACCAAACCTGAAAAAACAGAAAAAGATGGGAAATCACCGCAAAAAGTATCAGGTAGAAAAGCTGCTGAAGATACAGACAAAAGGAAAAACAGTAAGCTTGCTTTTGCTTTTTCACACCTGCTGATATATATGTCCGGAAATGTTTAATACTGGCAATAGTAAATAAACATATAGATATGGGTAGTTGTATATGTATAGATGTACAATGTGTGTGTATGTGTATAAATATATTCATATATATATATTTATATATGTATATATATATATATATCTGTCCATACATATATACATATGTATATTCGATGTGTGTGTATATGTAAAAATATATACTATACATCTAAGAGAGTGTCCAGTGTAAAACTGTATTTAAGCTCATTCTATTATTCTACAACAAATAAACACCCCAAAAAAGAAAAAGATGGGAAATCATTGCAAAAAGTCAAAGTATCAGGGAGAAAAACTGCTGAAGATACAGACAAAAGGAAAAACAGTTTTTTCACACCTGCTGATATATATGTACGGAAATATTTAATCCTGGCAATAGTTAATAAACCTTTGTCATATATGCCACTCCTCTCCTCCACTTCGCCTTTTCTTCCAGAATGCAAAGATAGGAAGAGATGCAGGAAACTGGCAGGAGTTTGTCAATCCAAGAAAACGGCTTGCGTCGGCGGCAAGAAGATGAAAGGCAAGAAGTTCTGTAATAAGAAAAAGTGCCGCTGCTGCGTCCCTAGATGTCTTTTCTTTACAAACGCACCTCGCAGGAACCAAATTAAGATTCTTCATCACAAATGATTCAGTCATATGCAGATGTTCAAGTCAGCAGAATAACATGCTTCATTTCATATGGTTTTGCAATACACAAGATGTTTTATAAATTTATGCCCGTCATTCAGGCAACACATTAACAAAGGCTTTATATGCACCTAGTCACGCAAACATCCGCCTTGTACGCACTCCTGTGCATAAGGAGCGACAAATGCAACTATTTGTGCATTTGTGTGTCCGTTAATGTATCTAGTTTTACACCAAGTCATGCAAACATACGCACAAGTACGTGCACAGGCCTACGCCTACACATACATAAGTGTGTGACAGAAAGAAAAACATAACGAGTTCCTTCTTTCTGCAGCATCGCTGTGCAAAGAAAGGAAATGGTGCAAAAAGAGGGGCGGAAAATGCCAATACAAGTGGGACACTTGCGACGGAGTCACAAGGGCAAAGGGATGCCGAGGAAGCAGCGTCTGCGTCTGCTGTATCCGTGAGTATCCCTTTGTCCAAATGTCTGAATCAGTGCTAAGGCTATTTCCACATACCTAAACTGAACTGAACATTTGATGAATCACTGGAAGCCATTATACGTTGATGTGTGAATAGTTTACCACAAATTTAATCATACAAATACCTTCTTTTCACAGCCAACACACCAACTCCTGCTCCCACCCCTGCACCTACTCCGGCTCCCACTCCCGCACCTACTCCAGCTCCCACTCCCGCACCTACTCCAGCTCCCACTCCCGCACCTACTCCAGCTCCCACTCCCGCACCTACTCCAGCTCCCACTCCTGCTCCAACTGGCCCCACTCCCGCACCTACTCCAGCTCCCACTCCTGCACCAACTGGTCCCACTCCCGCACCTACTCCTGCTCCAACTGGACCCACTCCCGCACCAACTGGCCCAACTGCAGGTCCCACTGCTGGCCCAACTGCAGGTCCCACTGCTGGCCCAACTGCAGGTCCCACTGCTGGCCCAACTGCAGGTCCCACTGCTGGCCCAACTGCAGGTCCCACTGAAGGCCCAACTGCAGGGCCCACTGAAGGCTCAACTGCAGGTCCCACTGAAGGCCCAACTGCAACCCCCACTGATGGCCCAACTGCAACACCCACTGATGGCCCAACTGCAACACCCACTGCAGCCCCAACTGCAACCCCCACTGATGGCCCAACTGCAACCCCCACTGCTAGCTCAACTGCAACCTCCACTCAATAAACAACTGTACAAGGCAAATTGCTTCCATAGGAAACATTTTGCTTGTGAAGAATGATGTTCATATTAGTCAATAAATATTGCAAACAATAGTGCATATCTTAACCCTTCCCTCCCTGAGGTAAGGAAACCCTTAAATCAAGGATAGCATCACCTTCCTTATATATATATATATATATATATATGTATGTATGTATGTATATATATATTTATGTGTATATATTTATATACATATATATATTTATGTATATATATCTATATATATACTTATATGTATATGATATATATATATATAATATATATACATATAATATATACATATATATGTATTATATATACAAAATATATATAATATTTGATATATATTTATAATATTTATGTAATATTTATAATTTATATAATGTATATATATATAACATATATTTATAATATATAACATATATGTTATATATGATATATATAATATATATATTATATATATCATATATAATATATATATATGATATAATACATAATATATGTTATATATAATATATAATATACATATAGTTATATCAAGTGTGTAGTATATACATAATCATATATAATATATATAAATATATAATATATGAAAATACAAATTATATATATAATACATATAATATATATAATATATATAATATATATAATATATACACATAATATGCACATATATAATATATATGCAACATATATATGTAATACATATATACTACATATATGATATACAGATATAGTATATTTATTAATTTATATGCATATATACATAATATATATATATACATATATATAATGTGTGTGTGTAAATATATATATATATAATATATCATATATCATATATGGGTAGGTGCTTCATGCTCAGGGTGAAGTGATGGTGTGGTAGCCTAGATACTGATTGCATGCCTCCATTATTAAAGCACCCAACTGTAGGCTCAACTCAGTCCCACTCCCGCACCAACTGGTCCCACTCCCGCACCAATTCCTGCACCGACTGGTCCCACTCCTGTTCCTACTCCTGCACCAATCTGGTCCCATTCCTGCACCAACTGGTCCCACTCCTGCACCAAATTGGTCCCACCCCTACACTAACTCCTGCACCAACTGGTCCCACTCCCGCGCCTACTCCCGTACCAACTGGTCCCACTCTCACACCAACTCCTGCACCAACTGGTCCCATTCCTACACCAACTCCTGCACCAACTGGTCCCATTCCCATACCTACTCGTGCACCAACAGGTCCCACTCCCGTACCAACGTACCAACTGGCCCAACTGCAGGTCCCACTGCTGGCTCAACTGCAATGTATATATATTATATATGTATGTATATAATATATACGCATAGTAAACACATATATAATATATAAATATATATAATATATATAACAGATATATATAGTATATATATTATATCCCCTTGGTGCCGGGTGACGCCGATCGGCGTGTAAACAAAGAGCTCGAAAGCTGGCGTGCAGCCAAACGAGCCGGCAAAGCGCGGCGAGCCAGTGATTCGGGCTGATGTCCCCTACTCACGCGCTCAAAGTCGGCGCGCCGCCTTTGTTTGTTTAAGCGTAGAGGTTTTTTTCTTTTGTACACCCGGCGCCATTGGGATATAGTACATATATAATATACTTATATAGTACATGTATTATAAATACATATATATGTGTGTGTATGTGTGTGTACATATCATATATCATATATGGGTGGGTGCTTCATGCTCAGTGTCATGTGAAGTGATGGTGTGATAGCCTAGATAGTGATTGCATGCCTTCTCGCTTGCACCTGCCACCGCTGGCTAGCCTAGTGTGAAAAAGGGAGCAGTTCTGCTTAGATCTATGCCTCCTAGTGGATTTATGATATCCTTTGCGATCAAATTCATATATATATATATATATATTCATATATATATATATATATATATATTCATGCATATATATACATATATATATGTAGAGAACAGCGTGTATTTATGCATCTGTATGAATGCTTACATTTATGCATGGTTAAACTATACCTGTATATATACTTATACAGTTTTCTACTTACATTTATCCTAAACATCAAAATTCACTCTGGCATATGTAAAAGGTCTTCAACGGTTTTTCAAGTGACAGCAGTAATGGAGCATTGTGGAGATATGAGGGCAGATTATTCCAAACACTATACCCATGCTATAAAATGCATGTCTTTGATTGGTTTGAGCCTACAGTTGGGTGCTTTAATAGTGAATTTGATCGCAGATCTTAAACCCACCAGGAGGCATAGAACTATGCAGAGCTGCTCCCTTTTTCACACTAGGCTAGCCAGCGCTGGCAGGTGCAAGCGAGAAGGTACAGTGGTGGGAGCAGATGGTGATGCATTGGCTGTGAAAAGAATGTATTTGTATGATTAAATTTGCCAAGTTATAATGTAGTAAACTATTCACACACCTACACATATTGGCTTCCAGTGATACATCAAATGTTCAGTTCAATTTAGATATGAAGTAAGAGGAGGAAAGCATTGATTCAGACATTTGGACAAAGTGTTACTCACGGATAC